TTTCCAAATCTTGACAGACCATGGCATGATATGACGTAGGGCTGTGCAAATACCCCATAGGCACCACTGCAAATGTTCATTGTCTTTCTTCCCAAGAGAATGTAAACTGGTCTTGACAAACTGCATGAATATCAGCACTAAAGAAAGCATAAGCCAAATCCACTACAAAATAGGATGTGCCCAGTTGTATCTCTCATTGGGCCAAGATATTGGCAATTTGGGGTATCATCCAACGGACCCTTATTATTGTTTTTTTGTGTTCGGGCTATGTTTAATGCACTAAGTGTAGCAATATCACCCACAGTGATATAGATATAGTTGACAGCAAAAAGATTCCAGCAAAAAACCAAGCCTTGGTGTGTGTTCCAATCCAGGGCTCACCCTGAGTTCTGCCTGTACCATGGCTATGAGGAGAGCAGTGCCAACCAGGACTGGCCTCTAGGACCCTGGACACTTTGGTTCTGCCCCACAGTTGTCTGCATGCTCACTCTTTTCTTAGGGTTTGAGCTTTCTCCCTCCCACACTGCATTGGGTTTTTTATCTATCTTGTTAGGATTCACCCCTGCCTTTATCAAATCTACCTACACACATTTGCTTGCAGGTCACCTTTTTGGGACCCTCTGTACCTTTTTTCCCTTTTGGGTTCTCCTTCACCTTTTGAACTCCCCATTTCTGCCTGCATTTGGCTGTCAGCTTCACTGAAGTATATGGGTAGGTGCACGCTAGTGTGCATGTACTGCAGGGGTGCTGGCAGGTGTGCTGGACCTTGGCCCTCTGGCTGTTTCTGTTGTGTCTTTACGAATAATCACAAGGTAAGCCCTCATCTCTGGGGCTCTTCTACCTACTCTTTCACCTCTATTTCATCCTCCTCTTCTATGATGGCTGACTCCCACCCCCAAGCTGGGTCAACGAAAGCTGGGGAAATCAGCCTTCCATTGACCTACTTCAGGCAGCCAGTGTGTACAGCCAAACAACAGGCCGAGTCTGACAGAGGGATTTCAACAGCTGCTGCAGGACTTCAGTGTTGATTTGCCACAGGCTAAGGCAGCCACTGCACTCCACCTTCCCTGTGATCAGCACTGTGCATGGTGTCTTTCAGGGAGTCAGGGACTAAAGGCAAGTCACACACATCCCTGCCATATGGGCCACTCCTGGTCCTCTGAGAAGGTACTTCAAAAGAGGAGCAAATGCTCTTCTTTTTGAGGCTTTCCTACTAGACTCCTGACAATTTTGGTCTTCAGCCTCATCTGTGGAAGAGAGGAACAGTAATCATAGTGATGATGAGTGAGAGGAAGAGGAGGACCACATGGTAGTTACAAGGCCATCACCGAATGCTTGCTGTGAGTCAGGTCCTATAGAAGGGCTTTCAACCTATTGCCATTTTATGGATGTTATTATCACCATTTTATGGATGAAGGAACAGAATCTCAAGTTAAGTGACTTGTCTAAATTTATACATGGGAGAATTCAGGGTTATCCTCAAGCCTCAGTTTTCCCATATGTAAAACAGAGCAGTCACATCTGCCCACTGCAGAGTTGGTATAGACTTCAAGCTGTCTTTAGCTTTCCTGTATTATCCAATGAGAGTGTTTCGGGGGAAAGGGAGGGGCTGTTTCTTCCTGGGAACCTCTAATTAAGGGGTAATTGCTCTTTAACAGCTGCAGTGGCACAGTGTTTTTTGAAGTGCCCATGGAAGTTTAAAAAAAAAAGACCGAACGCGGTGATCAGTTTGTAATCCCAGGACTTTGGGAGGCCAAGGAGAGAAGATTGCCTGAGCCTGGGGGTTCAAGGCCAGCCTGGGAAACTTTGTGAGACCTCATCTCTATAATAAATCAAAAAATAAGCCAGGCATAGTAGCATACGCCTGTGGTTCCAGCTACTTGGAAGGCTGAGGCAGAAGGATTGCCTAAGCCCAGCAGGTTGAGGCTGCAGTGACCGTGAGCGTGCCACTGCACTCCAGCCTG